TCTTTCTTTCACCTAGTCTACTTTCAATTTTAATATAATTATTATTAACCTGCCCTATAGTCCTTGAACCAAAGTAACCCCCAAGTCCCTTTATTCCCAGGCCTGGTGCGTTGGAGCTCTTCCAACTGATGGATTCCTTCACCCCACACTGAGTTTTCTCAGTAGGGTTGCATCTTTGTAGGTGAGAAACATCTTTTTTCTGGAAAATTCCATTTCCTGAGGTGCAGCCTCTGTGTCACTCCAACAGACCCTCTTTATTTCATTTAGTTAAATATACTTAGAGAATTGACTAAGTAACCTACAGTCTGTTGGTGTTAGAGATAAACATGAATAAAAACCCCCTTTTGTTCCTTCCTTCGCCAGAATCTAGTCAGGCAGGCCGAAGAGTAAATAGAGACCTTTCAACACAAGCAGTAGTTGCAGCTATATAAAATCATGGCATCTAGGGGCTGACGTTCAGTCAGTTGCAGTGGTTTGTCCATACCAGGTGTCAAATACTGAAATAGGGCTGTATCTGCTGCTGAACACTGGAGTGTCCCTCACCCCGAGTGCTGGCCGGCTCCCTGGAAACCCTGGGTTTATACCAGAAACAGTACAAGGCCCTTAGACTCTGCCCCTATGCTGAGGAAGCCAGTGGTTGCTAAATGTCTTTAAATAATTAGATACAAAGAAAGGGCTGGGCAAGGAGACCAGAAGAGGCAGCAGCCAAGCCCAGAGCTCTGAAATCCTTGTACTTCCTCCCTGGGGTACCCACAACATAGTTTTCCTTAACCAGTGAGTACTGAGAGGAGTTCTTAGTCAAAACTGTCACCCCCTGGAGAGATGGAGTGTAAGGAACCCTTGGTTGGCCTCTTCCTCCCCCGAGACTTTCTTTGGCACTCTCTTTCCTTCAACTCTGAAAAGGTGAACTACCAACAGTGGCCTCAGCTCAAATCTTCTCTTTGGGAGGAAATATGAGGGCTGGTTCAAAGTCCTAGGACCACGATAACTAAATGGACAATGGTGACTTTAAAAGTCAGAGTAAGGACAGCAGCACATCAGGACTTGCTGTAAATATTTACATTAACAAGTCATTTGCAAAGTAGATATTTATAAGGGCGTTTCCTTGTTTTATTATTATTATTATTATTATTTTTGAGGAAGATTAGCCCTGAGCTAACATCTGCTGCCAATCCTCCTCTCTTTGCTGAGAAGACTGGCCCTGAGCTAACATCTGTGCCCATCTTCCTCTACTTTATATGTGGGACGCCTACCACAGCATGGCTTTGCCAAGTGGTGCCATGTCCCTACCCCGGATCCGAACTGGCAAACACCGGGCCGCCGAAGCAGAACCGGCGCACTTCACCGCTGCGCCACCTGGCAGACTCCTCATTTCCTTGTTTTAAGGCTCCACAATATTGTCATTTGTAGCATCTATGGACGTTAACCAAGCAAGTGGCTAGAGAATACAAGAGGGCATCTTGGTGATTCTTCACAGGACAGAAGCTTCATCTCTGCATACCCCACAGCGCCCAGGAGAGACGCAACATGTTCAGTGACTCATTTGCATTCAAGAGTTTGAATTCAGTCTTCTGTAAATCAATGTGATAATATAATAGTATGAATAATGGCTGATGTTTCTCGAGTGCTTTCTATATGTTCTAAGTGATTTGCATAGATCATCTCATTTAAACTTCACAATAGTTGTGAAGACACACTGTTACGCAGTGTTACAGTCATGCATTGCTTAACAACGGGGATATGTTCTGAGAAATGTGACGTTAGGTAATTTTGTCATTGTGTGAACATCATAGCGTATACTTACACAAACCTAGATGGGATAGCCTGCTACACACCTAGGCTCTATGGGACTAATCTTTTGGGACCACTGTCATATATGCAGGCTGTCGTTGACTGAAATGTTATACAGTACACTACTCTACCTTTATTACCTCCATTTTATAATTGAGGAAACTTAGGGACTGAGAATTGAAATATCTCGCCGAAAGTCAAAGAGTGGAACATGTGACACTTGGGTTTAAACCTAGTTTAAGGGAATTATTTTAACATTCTGTAGTGGAAACTAAAGCCCAAATAGGGGAAAAAATAAATGCTATTTATTCCCTCAGAAATGCCTGTGCCATTGTGACTTAAGATTAGTAGCGTTCTTTAGAAGCTTACCAACTTGTATGGGAAGAAAGAAAATTATTGCCTCCTAATATTCTACAAAGAATCTACTTCGACGGTGGAGTTAAACATATAAAACAAAGATCAATCGAATCAATCAGCCGTGTATTCACTGAGCATTTACTATCCAAATTTGTCAGAATCATTCACCTTGGATACAAAAGAAGCACAAATCCTTGCCAATGTGGCCTGATATCTTAGGGACCAATTTTATTTATGGTAAAACACAAGAGTTTTACCTGCTGGTTTCCCTTTAAGACCAATATTTCATTCTATGCTTTTTATGCTTTTAGATTCCTCAGACAAACAAATGAAATACTGAATAATGAATTCATTTATCATTAAATTAAAATAATCTTACAATCCTTAACTCACCAACTTACATGTCATCCCTTTCTTTTTTAATTTATCTGCCCCTCTTAAGCAAATGACAGTTGTACCATGTCATATTAAGGTATTCATTAGCTTTCTGATCTTGGTGATTCTAAGGGTGTTGAAAAGAATCTACATAGAAGTTTATTAGCCTGCTCTTGAGCATGTGTATTTGATCTCTCTTCTGACTTCAAAAAGAAAAAAAGAAAAAAATACGCATTAAATATAGTTCTTTGAATGTCAAATGGGTATATGATTTTTGAGCTTGCCAAGTGTTAATTGGTCTCTTCCCCAGCGAGGATACAAATAAAATTCACAGCCAATTAGTTTGCAGTCTTGAATCTTTCCTCCTTGACAAAATGAACCACTTTGTTGAAGAGACTAAAAAATGAAGAAATTACTAGTATCTCCTCATTGAAAATCTTTGCAGGAATCAGCTATCCAAGAAACATCGAGTAAAAATGAGGCTATGGATACCCATGTTACTCAGGATATGGTTTTGTCCTTAAGGTAGTTTAGTGGAGGAGGTTTGCATTAGAATTTTAGAAATATAATTGAGGAGACTGATGCACTATTGTAATAAGTGAAATGAAATATTGAACAGAGAAGAGTTGCCTCCCTTCTAATCACAATAAATCATACTGTGTGTCAGTGTTGGAAGATAAGTTTTGTGTGGTTGGATAAAACATCTATAATCATGCAAAGTCTCTGATAAAATGTTAGAAAGCGCCATGGGATGCCAGTTACAAGGCAAAAATAGCTCTCTTCTTTCAAAGCAAAAAAGGAAATTTCATTAAGAGTGCCACTTTGAGTCTTTGCATTAACACATGGAATTATGAATGGGTGTAACAGAAAAATAGAGTCATTTTGTAAGGGCCTGGATAAATTTCTAATCAGCTTATTATGATTATTAATTTGGAAAGACCAATCAGATGTTTAATTTTGTTGTCGTGAGACCAGCTACGGAGCTGACTCCCACCTTTGCTTGAACCTTCAAAAGACTGAAAAACTACAGAAATCTAATTGTAAATGCATTGTTAACTATTAAACATGTTTTTGGACAACGTTGCAAGTCTCAGTACTACTATTCTGCAATTTCACAAATAGGGAAAATTCAGGGCTTACTCTTACAAAAAAATCAGCTGACCCACATTCAGGCCCAAATTGTAAAATTACAAAAATTGGTTTTTTCCCTATATGCAATAAAGAATAACAATTCCAAAGGACTCAGTGTAGTGTGGAGGCTAACAAGGACCACCGAGACATTGGCAGCTATGTCATTTGTCAAATTAAAGTTTTTCTGGTTTCATAGGACACTGGATCAGCTAGGGCAATAGTGTTTGATGCACATTAGGATGTCTCCCAATAATTATAAAAGGGTAACATTTTTCAGAGTTTGGAATTATTTCGTAACAAAGAGAAGACACAGTATCAGATTATTTTCCTCAGCAGTATGCTCTAAGATGATGGTGAGTGTCTCAAGAGAGCATGGCTCTCTCTGTGGTCTTGTAGGCCTATCCCCCAAGGACAGGCATTTTTAAGGGCACTATATTGTTTGGTGCTAATGAGTTGTTTTTTGGTTTTGTTTTTGTGTGTGTGTGAGGAAGATTGGCCCTGAGCTAACATCTGTTGCCAATCTTCCTCTTTTTGCTTGAGAAAGATTATTGCTGAGCTAACATCTGTGCCCATCTTCCTCTACTTTATGTGAGATGCCTCCACAGTGTGGCTTGACTGGCAGCATGTAGGTCCACACCCGGGATCCAAACCTGCAAACCCTGGGCCACTGGAGCAGAGTGTGCAAGCTTAACCACTACACCACCGGGCCAACCCCTGTTTGGTGCTAATGAAAAGTCATGGTATGAATCTGATGCATAATACTTCATTAGCAACCAATAGGCTTTGTTTTAGAAACCCATGAAAATGAAGAGCTTGATGGAAAGCTTACAGGATGAAACTAATTGGCGCTTGTTATTCCTCAAACATGTTTTTATTCATGATGTGTGAATATGGCTTTTAGGTATGTCCATGATTACATCGTGGAACAGGAAATACATATGTGGAATGCACCCGATCACAGACACACACAGACACATACACAGACATGCTGCTTACATTTTTTGCATATTATCGAGAACAACAATAAAATTGACGGTGCATTATTAAGTCATACCATCTCTTTCTATGATAAGTGCCAGATAAAATAAAGCAGTGTTTCTAATTTCTTAAAGAGAATGACAAAATTAAACCAAGCTGCCTGTGGCTTTGTCCAGTGGGGCATTCTAATTGACTCCCAAGTCATTAATCAGTTCCCAATCAATCCATTTTGCCAGCAGCAGGCAGTTAGGACTCCATTACCAACCATTCATCATGCCATCCCCTAATTCACTGCACCATTAGCCATGGGTTAGGCCTCTGTTAGAATAACTAAGTGCCAATTCCTAAATGCAAAGAATTCTTGTTACCTCAGCCACTGGGATCCCTTCAGGTGGTCGACACTGGAGCAAGACTTCCTGTTCCAAGGACACTTCCTTTCCCAGAGGTTCCTGCTCAAATGTCTTCCGCAGATCTGAAAAGCACAGGTAATAAAATATATGACAAAACTAATTAATATTTATTTATTTATAGAAAGTGCAATAAAAACTTTTCAGTTTAGTATTTTATATGTCTTTGCATTTTTTTAAACATATGTTGTTAGTACTGTACCATAATCTAGGTGATTACATTCTGTGTGGTGGAAATTATGAAATTCAGAGGCTATTAACTGTTCCAATTTTAGTCTTCACTAGGATGCTTTGGAAACTTCCATTTAACAATTAATGAAATTTATTCATTGCATTTCCTCAGTATTTCTTGATAATCAACTATGATGTTTTTTTTTGGTTTTTGTTTTTTGCTGAGGAAGATTTGCCCTGAGCTAACATCTGTGCCAATCTTCCTCTATTTTTTGGTACATGGGACACCTCCACAGCGTGGTTGGTGAGTGGAGTAGATCTGCACCTGGGATCTGAACCCACAAACCCGGGCTGCCAAAGCAGAGCTTGAGGAACTTTAAGCACTCTGCCATGGGACCAGACTCATGAGGATCAAATTTTTAATCAAAAGAATCCCATTGGCATGATTTTTATACATACATAGTCCCTTATGTACATAAATATTTTCCTCTTTCGTACATTAGATAGTATTAAAGTTGTAGTAACTCTGAGATCTTTTGATCAATAACTCAAAAGCAACTTTCTGTTTTAGAGTAGGAAACAGGATGTTGGAGTCCTGAAAGAATGAATATAACTTCCTGAGGTGTCTCAAACGCAAGGCGGGAAAAAGAACAACTACTGAGATGAGTCCATAAATCCCTCAATATGTAATTATGTGGCCATTCTTCAATTAGAAGATTAAAAAGCCATTTCTTCCCAATATGTCAAGTACCTAATTATGTATTTATATAGTTACAGTTGCTACAGCAATGTACAGTAGACGTCTAAAAACTGTTATAGATGGACACAAAAATGTTATAAACTAGCTTGTAATTTTAAATACCAAAATTTAAAAAATGAATGATTCAGCCATAGAGCTTTGAAGCTGTATCAAAAAAAAAGCCCAAAATTTATTTCGTACTTGTACAGTTCAGCTTTTTCCAATTAAAAGTTATTAAGATTTTATCCAGTTGATTTTAATAAAAAATTAATGCATTGGTTCTTTCATCCCACGTTGTTGGTAAAAACTTAAGAATGTAAAAAGCACCATTTCAGCCTATGGAGCTAATGAGTGGGAACCTGCAGACTGGAGGTATACCCCCAATTGTCTTCCACAGAGAGATCAGAGGGCGCTGCCTGGAGAAACCACTGAGAAGAAGGTCCATTGTTACAAACTTGCCATTTTGTTGAATTTCTTGGCAGAAAAACGAAAAAATCTTCAAGAGCTTCGGGGTTGTGAGAAAATTATGGATCTATGTAGATCTGAGGTAAAACAAGAGACCCTCCAAATTGCTACACAATTTCCGTGAGAAAAGTACTTCTAATTTGACTATTAAGAAACTGAGTATATTGCAGAAATGAACATTTAAGTTCAGAGAGTTGTTAGAACTTGAAAGTTACCTAAACCGCGCACTTATTTTAGATATAAGGATCATGTTTATCAAATTACTCAAATCCTCACAGCAAAATAATCGTGCTGCATTAGAACCCTCTGGCTCTTGATTTGACACAGATTTTGCCATCCCACACACCCGTTTAACATCTCTTTTGGGTACTCTGTGCCCTTCCAACAGAAACGTTAAAACTTTTTCTACTCTTTTTCTTCTGATGTGGCAGTTTCTCTTTGTTTTTGATCTGCATTAAGACAAAAATTTTGGCTAAACACTAATGAAAAGTAAGAGCAGCAACTAACAACTTTTTGGGGATATAAGGGTCTCGACAAGGTATATCTAGAAATGATTCTGAAAATCTCCCATCTGATGTGGGGTAGGGCAAAGACACTGACAGAAATGAGTTTTCAAATCAAGTAACACGTTAACTCGCTCAGTTATTTTTTCCTTTTTTTTTTTTTTTTTTGCTGAGGAAGATTTTCCATGAGCTAACATCTGTACCAATCTTCTTCTGTTTTGTATGTGGGTCACCTCCACAGCATGGCTGACAAGTGGCATAGGTCTACACCCAGGAATGGAACCCAGGAAGAGGAGTGTGCCAAACTTAACCATTACGCTATGAGGCTGGTACTCCACTTTCAGTTTTTAATCAGCATATCACAAAATAAGGCTGAGAATAAGAAAGAGTGAGGTATATATAACTAAATAGAACAAATTCCTTTAATACTTATTAATTATCTCCTTATGGTAGACACTTTATTAGGTACTTAGGATGAAGACATGTAAGATACAGAATCAAGACTAGAAAAGTAAGCTAAGATCTATTTATGAAAGGCTTTCTGCTATTCTAAGGAATGGCAAGCCCTCAAAGGCTTCGAAGCAAAGGAGAGAGATCAGATGTCATATTGTCCTCAGTGTGACAGATGGATTGAAGTGTTGGTTAAGAGACAGAAAGTAGTTAGGGATTCATTTGGATAGACCAGGAAGGATGATGGAGTCCTGAACTTAGCTGGTGATAGTGGAGAGGAAGAGGAAAAAGAAGATTCTGGAAATAAATAGATGATGTACTTGGGATGACCTAGGCATTTGCAGAGTGCTAGGAGGCAAAGGTACACTACATTCTTAGCTACTGCAATTGTTAAATTATTACCATCACCAAGTGAAATAGTACTGAATTTGGCAGGAAAGTGGGAAGAAAGATAGCAAATTTATTTTGGTACGCGTTCAGTTTGGTGCGTCTGTAGGATATTCAAACAGACAAGTCCAGTAGGTCCAGATCATGGTTTCTCAATCTCAGCACTATTGACATTTGGGACTGGATAATTCTCTGTTGTGGGGTTATCCTGTGCATAGCAGGATGCTTTCAGAATCCCTGGACTCTGCCCACTAGACACCAGTGGCACCTCTCTCAGCAATGACGAAATCAATTCCTCTAGACAATGCCAAATGTCCCCTAGGGGGAAAAAATCACCCTAAGTTGAGAACCACTGGTCTGGAGTTTGGTAAAGAAGTCCTGGTAGAAGGTTTGTGCTTCCTTGCCTAGGAGACAGTTGAAGCGCTAGAAATACATGACACCACCAGGGGAAAGACTGCAGCATAGAACAAAGAGGACATCAACATTCAAGAGGAAAAGCTGTCAGCAAAAATGACATGGAGAGAGCAAAGAGGGAGGAGACAAACCAAAGATAAGTGTCAGAGGAGCCAAGAGGAGAATAAAGTTTTCAAAAGTTCGGAGGCCATCAGGACAAACGCAGCGAAGGACCCAGAGGGGAGAAAAAGCCATTGGTTTGCAAAATTTAGGAGCGAAGCGGGAGTAGAAGTCAACCTATGTTGAGGGGGGTAGCGGAACTGGGAAAATAACTATCATGAGAACCTACTACTCTTTTGTAAAATTTTATGGTGACGGAAGTCAGCAGTACCATTAGGGGTGATGAGTTTGAATGCAACATGGTGTAATTCTTCTTAGGATCCGGTGTCATTTTTGGCATAGTTTTCAAATTCCTGCCACATGAAGGCACATCTTATGAGGATCTTTGTTTCCCGATTGAGTATCGTGACTGCACGCTGGAAGCACGTGCATCCAGACACAGGTTCACCTGAACCATTATTGAATACAGTACAATTATTTTGTTTTAATGGTTTGGCTTTAAACTCTATGTAAATTTTATCTGATTTCTAAAATGATCTCATATTAACCCTCTACAAGGCAATACTTCTTCCTGAAAATTCCTTTTAATTCCTTCCATAAAACCTCTCTTCTAGCTTTCAGGTTGTGTAATGAGCGTAGAATATATTGGGCCGTGTACCACAGCAGCTGCTCCTTTCAGTACGCCTCCACAGGACTCTGCGAGCGGAGGGTAGGTAACATTTTAAACATATCCTTCATCATTTGGAGAGATGTGACAGAAGACAGGCCGGGTGCCTTGCAGGCAGAGAGAACACAAGGGTGACGAATGAATAAGCATGAAAAACGGACACTTGTCTGGGAATTAGATGTAAAACAGAATGATTCCGAATAATGTGGGCCTTCCCGTCAGGAGAAAAGATGAGCTTCTGCCCTTGGAAGACCTTTAGGATTCTACATTTCCGTTTTCTTTCCATTAGTTGTAAGGCTGCTACTAAAATAAGTATAAAGTCCTTTCATTATAACCCAGATTACTTTTGCAATGTCAACTTGGCCTCACTCTGATTGAGCCATTGATTCCACCAATTAAAAGAAAAATCAGCTTTGTCATATGCGTGCATTCAGAGAGATGTTTACTTAAGAACATGAATATTGGCTTACTAAATCCATACAGCGAAATCCAATTAGCAGATGGAGAATCTGACTTGAAACTATACAGATTTCTATTTACCCTTGACACAGTAATCAAAGAAAGCCTTTTAGAACACACACATGTGTGGGAGCATATGACGTCTCACTTTTATTGTAGAATTTTGATGTTTTCACTGAATTCCTTTTGCACAATAATAATACCGTGGTTACAAATTATCTATGACATGGAATCTCATAATTCACAGCAGTCTACAAACACGAACTCTGCTTTATGACAATGTGGTAAACGGAAAGAAGGCTAAGTGGGGGTTTGAAGACTTTGTGGCCTTCTCCTTTCTCATTTGTAAAATGAAAGAAAACAACAGGATGTTTTTGAAGGTCTCTTTTGCCATATATAAAGACCGATGACAGAATAGACTAACATTTTTAATACATATTTTAGGGGAAAAAAGCTTCTACTTTGTCGAATAAGACACTTCCTGGTTGTGATGGATCTTTAAGGGGATATACCAATTATGAGAAATGACAGAAGAAATTATTTTTTAATAACTTAGTAGTTGACGCATGTTTGAAGAGAATATCATATAATATTCCCCTCAGGACAGTTTTCATGGAAGTTTTGGACACTTGGATATACAACCAAGGGTTCAAGTTAGAAAATGGGGAAAAGGGTGGGCTCCAGAAGATTCAGTTTTAAAAATATCAGAAA